AATGTATATAAACTGTGAAGTTTTTGTCCCTGGTAGCACAAGTTTGGTGGAGCGATGCCCCTTGTGCCCAGCGCTGAATAAACAAATACCTGCTACTCACAGATACAAGGCTGGGAGTAGTTCTTTTCCAGCCTTTTCTCGGCATCACTTTATATACATAAATACACATATATATGCATTTCATTCATGGCTGAATGTTTTTGGGATGCTTTTCTTGTACTATGCTTAAATCAATATGCTTTGTGGAATCTGAAGGAAATACCACCTCCAGTTCTTTGCTCGACTGTAATTTTCTGATCAGTCTGTTTATTTTTAGGGCACTTTTCAACAAACCCTTTTTTCTTCCTTAGCACCAAAGTTAACATGATGCTTATTTTTTAGCATCATTTTTAAAAGTTAAAACACAGACTGAGAAGTTTAAGTCAAAAAAGAGGTTTTTGCTGTTCAAACAATGATAGAATCATAGAACAGTTTAATCAGAAGTAATGAAATCCTGAAGTTCTCACAGTCAGTCTGCCTGGTTTTTATTCCTTCTAAATTCAGTTGTGGTAGACAAAGGCTTTCTTTGATCTTACTTTTTTCCAAGTCAAAGAAGGGTGTCAAATGTAGCTACTAATGGGATTTGTGATCTTTCATTCATTTATATAAGCACAAGATACTCTATTGTAATACAGCCTTGTTGTATGTGTCTGCACAGCTATAACCAGGTAATGCAGTTAAACATTCCAATCAGGTGAAGCTCATTTAGCACCACATCTGCAGCAATTCCTCCCACTCTGTTTCTAAGTATATAACATACAATGAACAGATTAAACTTTCTCACACGGAGCAGTAAGGTATTTTCACAACTAATTTTACATCCAAACTGTGTCAAGTACCTAAGGAATTGCAGATGCTTCATACACTGAAAAACCTTTCAAATTGATGGCCTGTGGATACTTTAGACACTACAAAACAACTACTTCTTCTCAAAGTCTCTGCTCTCTCTGTTCCCTCTAACATTTGTTTCTCTTACTGAGATTTCAAATTGATGGGCTGTGGACACTTTAGACACTACAAAACAACTACTTCTTTCCAGAGTCTCTGCTGTTTCTGTTTTCTCTAACATTTGTTTCTCCTACTGAGATTTCAAATTGATAGACTGTGGACACTTTAGACATCACAAAACAACTACTTCTTTCCAGAATCTCTGCTCCCTCTGTTTTCTCTTACATTTGTTTCACTTACTGAGATTTCTCCAAGATATATACAGGGGCTCCCCTGGCTCTTGGTGGAGGTTGATATTGTCCCACAGCAGATGGATGCATACTAGCTTGCTATCTTGAGCCAGAGATGTCAAAGGAAGCTAAAACACATGAGGAGAGGAAAAAAGTTTTAAGAACATCATTACAGTGTTACATTATTTAAAAAGCTGCTCCTTTATTCATTTTGCAAACAAAGATTTACTTTACTTATCTTGAATCCAACAAACAGGAGCAACTGAAGTCTTCTAGAGGAAATTGCACTCAACCAAAGCAGTCACAAGTACTGCAACATTTAATTGCTTTTCTAGTTTATCCTAATGTATGACGACCACTTAGTTTTCTACAGGCATCTGAGGAAAATATTTCTGAGTATGCATCTGGAAATACTTCTTCAGCAACAAGAATGTTACTTTATTTGTACTACTTATCATGCCATGCCATAGTATTTTCTGACTTGATGAAGACTTGGTATACCTGTCTGTGCATTGGCCTTCCCAAAAAGCAGGAAGAATTTTTATTTGTATGTAGATATTATATTTATTTCCATTAAAAATATATTGCAGTCTAAACAACAGTTCTGCAATTATCTTATAAAATTCGGTGCCTCTGGAATCACTAATACACAAATTACTGGGCCAGAAAAAATTTACCACTTAGTGTTGTCTTTAATATTTACATAGTAATTATGAGTTATTATGTCCCATCTTGTGCTTACTCCTGCTAATGCACTGTGGGTTTCCAGTATGGTTTAGATTTCACTAGTATTGTTTTCAACTACATTTCTTGTTAAATTGTTCTTGCTTCTAGGTGGTTTGTTGGGGTTTTTTTGAAAATCACGGAAAATAGTTTTTAAATGAAAGTATATACAAGCAGATAGGAAAATACTACTTTTTTCTGCATGCATCACATACAAATATATATGGAATTTTGCACCTACATACACAAATCACATAGGCTTCAGGAAAAACATCCACTCCTTAAAATGATTAAAGCAAAAAACTCAAAAGATGCACTTGTTCTACATTCTTTTGTGCTAGTCATATAGTAATGAAACTCAGTCAAGTTTGAATAGCAAAAAGTGGAAGAGAACAAGAAATACTGACCAATAACTTAAAAGGTTCTAAACTCAAGTATGTAAACCACTCTGTGTGCTGCAATGTATGGCAATTAGTGAGCTCTTCACAGACACTTCTTGTTTCCTTCCACACACCAGCCTTCCCTTTAATGAATCTTAGTCTCTGGCTTTTTAAAAGGGACCAGCTTGACCTGAACTTGAAGGCTGTTTTCACTCATCTCCCTTCAAGATTCCTCAGGGAAAACAAATCTGTCTACTTGTACCATAAAACCCAGGAGCATAGATTCAACCTATTCAGAAATTACTTATCCACTTTATTTTGAACCAAACCCTCCAATTTAACTTACTGCAATATTTGCTGTTCTAACATGAGGAAGCCACTTACCTGCACTCCATTGTTACAGTGTTCAGATGTTAGAATGAGTCCAGGTAAGTTGCTAGGTAGATCCAACCGTCGGAAATACCAAACTAGGTTCCAAAAAATTATGGGGTGTTGATTGATGAATTTGGATGTATGAATTACTTGCTCTCCCTCATTCTCCAACAGTGATTCAAGCTCCTTATGCAGTACCAAAGGGCTCAAGTAGGGTACAGATACAGGGAGAGGGTTGGGTCTTTGTATTAAAGGATCCTAAAACCAGAACAACACAGATGAAAAAACGGTTTGTTGGTTTTTTTACAAAATCAAAGATTTTTCTTCCAGAAATACCCTTCAGGATTACTTGCCCTGGAAACCTCCATTGCACAGTTTCTTTTGAAATTTGGAAGAAGCATCTGGCACTACTGAACACACAGTAACTTTAATAGCATCAGCAGTTTTGGCTGTTGAGGTTTTTCTTCACTTTGAAGAACAATCACCTAGGCTATCTCTATTATATGCACAAGACGAAAGCACTAATTTGTTACAACTTGTTCCTGGCTGTGCAGTTTCAAGCTACTAAGCTGGTATTAAGCCAGTGGCAATGGAAATTGCAGAAAAACATCAGTAATTACATCAGCTGTGGAACTGAATCATGAGTTCACATGTTAAGACAGCTTCTGGACAATAAAAAGCACAGAGAGAAGGGAGAAACACTTTGTTTCACAAGAATAATCTAAGATTCTCAACACTGCCTCACCTGTTCCTACCTAGTCAACAGGTAAGCATAACAGAATATACAGGAGATATGTAAGCAAAAGCACAGAAATGGCAAAAGTTCTCACTCTTGCAACACTGTCTTGCTTGCACTATTGTGTTCAGCCTGCTGTAGAAGTTGCCTTATTGTTAAAACAAGCCTTCCAGTTTCAGAAGGACCAAGACTAGCTTCATACTGCTAGAAAGAACATTTCAAACTGAGCAGAACTGTTTGTACAAAGTATTGGAAAGGCAATTTTAGTTTAACTGAATCAAGATCTTGGTTTTGTTCACAAGAATGTGAAAATATGCTTGCCCATTCCCATTCTCCAGATGGAGAACAACGATAGCAGTAGAACATCATTAAGTTCATTGTATTCCATACTCTTCTTCAACTGAATGCACAGCTTCTAGACTTACCACAGCTTCTTGCAAACTATTTGGAAGACTGACTGTGGAAATGCCATGAGATGGTCTCTGGGAGAGATCAATGTTCTGCAGTGGACCTCCAACACTGTGGCTCCGAGTTAAGGACACTCCCCTTTTTGGTGGATTACTGGCAGTCGTGTTCATGCCTCTGGGATCCTCAGTCTGTTCTTCTGCCACATCACTGCATGAATTTTAGAAGAAAATATGCTAATACGAAGCTATTCAGCATTTCTAAGGCAACAGGAAGGAAGCAGAGAAAGGCTGCCAAGTAAATACCCCAAACCAATCTTCTCTAGTAATAAATCATATTTGCTCAGTTAGCTCCACAGTTCAGGGAACACAAACCAAAATGCCTCCCAGAACAATATAACCATGCCTCCAGAAAAGCAGCTAGGTACAACCTGAGACATGAATCTGAAAGCACTGCAGTTCTGCACAGGTACTACTGCTCTGGTACAGCTTTACCTTGCCTAGAAAAACTGCTGTGTGCAGCTTTGCCAACCTACAAAGATTATGTTGTTTTGACTATGTTCACTTTTACTTCCTCTTCTCTTTATGTCTACTTTCTCTGAGTGTCATAAACAGAATAAAAATACAACAGAAAACAATTTATAAATTGCAAACCAAAATAACAGAAAAAAATTAAATCATGTCAAACGCATCCAGCAAGATAATTTAAGCAAACTGAGGCTTGTCAGACTTAACCCATATAATCAAGCCACTTGCCGACCTGAGAATATCCATACTGTGCTCCTTATAACTGAAATAATGGATAAAAACACTTCAAGTACAATATAGCAGAAAAAAACATCAAGTGAAAGTGTCTACTTCCAAAAAATATGCAAAAATAGGAAGAGATTAATTTACAGGTGACCTTCACTACTAAGTTTTACTTTAGTTAAAAAATGTCACCAAAATTAAGACATGAACTATATAAGCTGTACTACCTTTCATTCTGAGTATTAAGACTAACTACCATCACATTGATTCATGTTCTAATTGTCTGACAGTCATTAGCTCATTAGCTCCCACTCACCCCAGAATTCCAAACAGAGTAAAGATTTTAAGAAAACCTATCATAACAAAATGTAACCAATGTCAGCAAAAAGGTCACAATTCATTCTTTCAGTTCTTTCCTCTTCCTACATGACACTTTCCCCTTAATGTTTCTTTACTCAGTTTCAAGAGTGCTGCTGTTTTCCAGAGTTACAGTTTCACATGGGTTTTATTTGTAACAGAACACACACTCCGCACAACTGTTGAGCGCTCTGAGAGCTTTCTCTCGAAAGAGACTGTTCCAGCAAATGCACTTATTTTTCCCCATAATTCAGGGTCCTTCTTGTAAAATCATACAAGGAAAGCAGAAGTAATGCTTGAGCTTCTCTGTGACTTTAAAAGGTGATTGTGTTTCAACAACACTGAGTAGAGGTTTTACCTATTAATCAATAACAGATGGACCTGGAGTTTTATTTCTACAGCTGTTACCTCTAAAAACTACTCTTTTAGTGGAACCAGTTTACTTCATACTTATAAAAGCATGCTTAAAACATGCAAAAACAATGAGAGGAAACAGATGATCATCAAGTTACAATTGTACTTCACCATTATATTAGGTATATAAGTAAACCTTCAGTTTAGAAGTGTCTAAGTATTAACACATTCCTGACAGAGGTAACAATCCCATTTTACCTACCTCTGCTCAGCTGTAGAGGTAGTTTCTTCAGCTATAGTGTGGCTGGACTGTGGGTGATCTGAAAAACTGATCAAGTCAGCAACAGCTGGGCTGGACAACAGTTTCTGCTCCAGGGGATCCGTGGTTAATGGAAGGGTACTGCTCTGTAAACTGTCTCCTGAGGTACTTTGCTTCAGGAAAAAGCTAAGTTGCAACATGAATGGGAGGGGAGAAAAATAAAAAGGTTAAGATGTAAGTGTAAAGTCAAAGTTATTATTTTCTACATTTACTTTTCAAAAGCAGCAAAAATAAGGAAACACAACATGAAAAAGCTTGACAACAGGACACAAATTTCATCCTACTCTCTCCCCTATAACTTGTATAGGCAGAGTAAATGAACACATAGAGAGATCTGATCTGCCAAAGAAGAAATCCTACACTGGATATAATCATACAAGTGACCTTAGTTTGTCATGGTTCCCAATCAGCAACAGAATACCAAGAGCTGACACACCACTGAAAATGGCTGTCATTGTAATGTGACATTACACACGAGACAACCATACACCATGACAGGCACAAGATAACAAGAACATTTGCTAAGTTTCTTAAGTACACACTCTACAGCTGCTACAGATGTTCAGTTTCTGCATTAGAGAACACCAGTGGAAGCTGTTTCACAGCCACAACCACTACAGTGAGAACTGTAATCCTAGTTCCAGTCTTCACAGTGCAATTAAAAGAGGCATAAATAGTAAGCAGAGAAACTTAAACTGGAGAAACAATAAGCTGGAGCATCTATAACTAAAAGCTGTTAGTAAATTTAATCTGGGAAAAATTCTTTGCCAACAGATTTAAAAACTTCTTCATACACTTTTATAATGATGTTCGTGATCCATGGGCTTTGTTTTCAAATCTAAACAAAATGAGAGCAGACTTACACCTTCTGTACAGTTATGCTTACAAAGAAAACATGAAAAGAAAAACTGGTAAAAAGGCAAAAGTATTTGGGTTTTGGATGAAACTGAGTAGTTTACATGATTTATGATTTTCTTCAGTACTATCATAGCCATCTAACAGTGACATTCTTGTGGACATCTAGACTGGGAGACATACCCAAGATTCTCTTGTGAGAAAATACAACTATGTACAAGTGTAAAGGCAGAAAGGGAGCATCTGTAAAACCCACTGACCTTGTAGAGCCACGTAGATCTTTAAATTCAACATTAAGCAAAGGCAGGAAGGTACTTTTACAGAAAGGACAGGTAGTGTTTAAGTTTGAATCATCTGCAGTCCATCCAGCCATAATTTCTTCATCATAAACCAAAGCACCACAAGCTCTGCACTGAGAGCAGCTTGACATCAATACCTAGAACAGTAAAGAATGAATATTATGAGTCTCATTTTTATAATTTTTTTATAGGCTTAGTGTCCACAGGAGTTTTAACAGGTATCAGAATGCCAGTGAGGAGAAATGAGTTCACCACAGCTTTCTCAGCACACTCAGAGTTATCTCATCCACATAACTTTTATCTGTGAAATGGAGATATTAGCAATTTATCTTTGTTATGTGTTTTGAGACCTGGAAGAAGCATTACCATGAAAGGCTACTAATTTAGCATTTGCAATTGCTTGCTGCTGCGAAGCTTTCAGTACATATGAATTGTTTTGAATTGCATAAATAAATGCAGGTCTACGTATCCAATACAGAAAACAACCACACACAACCAATCCAGTATAAAAGAAGCCTTTATAATAGTGTGGTGTGTTCACTCTGGCTGGATCCCATGTGCTCACCAAAGCCACTCCATCAATCCCTCTTCAAGTGAACAGGGTATGAAAAATATGGCAAAAGGCTTGTGAGGGACAAGTACATCACTCACCAGTTACTGTCACAGGCAAAACAGCCTCAACTAGAGGAAATTAATTTACTGCCAATCAAAAGTCAGAGTAGGGTAATGAGAAATAAACTCCAAGTTTCAAAGCAACTTCTCCCCAGGCTTGACTTTCACTTCTGATTTCTC